AGAATCAAAAAGGCTAATATTTCGAAATTCGGAATGATAACTATTCCACTTGAATTTTATCTCATACAATTCAGAATAAAAAAATTTTATAGGAATATGTAATTCACATGTTCAGACATCATCCTGAGCGCAAAGTACAAAATGTACAAAATTAATATCCAAAATAGACACGATACATACATTAAAACGTTTTATACATGAGATCTTGAAAGCACTCGAACTATTTATTCTATTGGCTCGGGTATAATTTAATTCAATTCTACGTTAAAAAAAAATACACGGGAATTAATCTCCCACTTGCTTAGATAGATATAAACTTTGAGTAAATAGGTACAAATACAGAATTAAATTTTTTGCCTTTTGTACATAAAATCCTTCGAATTTCTATATTCATCTGATCGCAGAAATTATATTGTTAAATGGCAAAATAAATTCTAAAAACAGTGGTTTGTCAAATGTGAAAGTCAATTGCGATTAGGCAGAGTTCAAAGAAATCGTAAAACTTAATTGGCGATCAAACTTTGATATTGAAACAAAAGAGAAAATTTAAAAAAAAGTATTGTCAAATTTATATTTTTAAACATCAAAACAAATCCTACAGAATATTGGAACAAATCACAAAAACAGTGGTTTATCAAATGTGAAAATCCATTGCAATTGAGCAGAGTTTAAAGAATTGACGATTTGAAATAAATTGTTCAAGCTTAAAGATGAACTACACAAGGAACTGAATTAAAACAAAATTATAAAGACAATTAATAATTGTTTATTCAAAATTAAATTGTTAAATGTCGAAGCAAATTCCCCAGAACAACTAAACAAGTCCCAGACACAGTGGTTTATCAAATATGAAAGTCCATTGGAATTAGGCAGAATTCGAAAAAATGGCGAAATTTGTATAATTAGCAGTAAAACTTTGATATGAACTTCACAAATTAACAATAAGAGTTACATAAAAACTAAATTATATTGTTAAATGTCGAAACAAAACCAATAGAATATCTGAACAAATGCCAGAAACAGTGGTTAATCATATGAAAGAGTTCATAACAATTAGGCAAAGCTCACAGAAATGGCGATTTGAAATAAATTGCGCTCTATAGCTGTAAGATGAACTTCACGAGCTAGCAAAACGAGATGTATTAAAATAAAATTATAAAGAGATAATAAATATTCATTTCTAAATAATGAAAAAAAAAGACTACAAAATCTCAGATACATTGCCTTATCAAATAAGAAAAGTACATTGAGATTATAAAAAAAATGGCGATATTAAATAATTTGCTTTATAACTGTAAGATGAACTTCAATAATTGACGAAAAAAGCTGTATTAAAACAAAATTCTAAATAGAATGATAAATATTTATGCTTAGTACTTACAGTAATGTTATGCCTTTGCTTAAATTTAGCCAACCAGCCATTAGAGGCTTTAAAGTCCTGTAAGCCCAGGCATTCCGACACTGTTTTTGCTTTTTCTCGTAGTGAAGCTCCATTTACAGAAATATTTCTAGCTTTCATGGAACAAAGCCAATCATGCACTAATCTGTCCATTTCACACGAGCCATTTTTTCGAAACTTTACATTTTTGGAATATTTATTTGAATTAGTAATCCATAATTTCGTAATCTCTTCTCTGTCTTTTAGAACATTACTAACTTGGTTTTTACTTATTCTGAATCTCTGTCCTAAAGCTCTCAAACTAAGCTTTTCGTTTTCTGCTACGTTGAGTACGTCAACTTTTTCTTTTAATGTTAATCTTTTCCTCGTTGAAGCCATGGCAGTGTCATGTAAGAACATAAAGCAACAATTCTCCTCACAGCCTAGTTCACACCCCCAGCAAGAACTGAAGATAGAAAAATTTCCTTACATACAATCGAAAGTTCTTTTTAAATTAGTCATTCATCATTATCATTGGGTGGTCCAGTCAGCTGACCTTTTCTTTCTCGTTAATGCCCACATCCCCAATTTCACTAAGATAGTTCTTGAATGGTATTTCCCCCTTTCCTGCTATTGTAGGGAATTTTTTGAACGTGAAATTCACTTTGATTACACGGTGGCAGGTTTTTTTTTCCTGGTTCAAAGGGATAAGCCAACTAACAAAGAAAATGTTTACTTTATATTTTACTTCCATCTTTTTGAAACTTCTTTCAGTGTCCCTTAGATAGAGTATCTGTTTAAATAAGCGCATGAAGGCTGAAGGCTTCTATTCAAAAAAGAGCAAGACTAATAGATTTGTCCCTTAAATGGAGGTCGTCCCTTACTTGAAGGGACACTTATATGAAGTACTACTGTAAATACTTAAGAATAGTGCAAACTACTATAGATATAATGCTATGTAGATTTTGAAGAATACTTTGTAATATATTTTGATACTTTACACAGCAATTTGCACTTTTAATTTAATAATGCAAGCAGCAATCTGAATTTTAAGTTTAATATTTTGCACTATAACGTTGTTACTTAACAAAGTAAGATGTAAACTGCATTCGCTTAGCATTAAATTTCAACATTTTGAGCAATAATTTTAAAAAAACTTTTCATAGAAATGTAAGTTTTAATTTCAATACTCTGAAATATAATTTTGATATTTTATACTATCGTAATTTAATTTTTAACTAAAATATATTGCACTATAATTTTAATACTTTACACAGGAATGTAAAATTTAAATTAAATGTTTAATTATGTTACTTTAAACTTTACTCGTACCGTAACATTTAATTTAAATGATTCGCTCAATAATTTTGAAACATTTTACGTAGAAATGTAAATATCTAAATTATCGATGAAATATTCGAAAAAGATTTTAGAAAGAAAAAGAAGAGAGTTCAAATTTCTAGGCTATTGACAATTCTAAAAAATTAAAGCGATAATATTATCCGTAGAAGATAAAGAAACAACCGAATTTAACAAACAAAAACGCACTATTTGTTGTCTGCGCTTTAAAAAAACATGTAATAAGTCAGCAAAATATAGAATACATTTAAAGTTATTCATCGCCTACTTAGAAAGAGTAATTGATAAATTGATTCTTCTCTCTAAAGTAAATAATAAAATCATTTTTTAATTAATAATTTCTTCCGCATTTTGTCTATTATAGTAAAAAAAGAAAAGAAAAGAAAGATTCTAAATTTCTACAGCGGAATGTGAAATTTGTTTTTAATTCTTTATTCTACTATAGATGAAGTGACTCGAATTTTCGATTGTTTGAATTTTTTCGTTTCTCCTTATAAGTTTGAAACAGAGATTTAACTGAAATACTTGTCTTGCCGCAGTCTATTGAAGGAAATTCGTAATGACCATTTTATGTATATCCAACATAATGCACACTGAAAAAATACCCGTTTTTTTCTTGGAATTTCCCCCTAAATTCAAAGGTTTAAAGCAGTTTTGTTGAAAAAACGGTTTTTATAATTTTTTCCTCCTAATCACAAACGGATTAAAACCGTTAGTTGAAATTCTATTTTTGACATGCAGTTTCGCGTTCCGTAATTTAACTATATTTTTTCTCCAATCACTATACGATTATTTTCCATACTTGAAGTCTACATTTTAGCAAATACATTATGGTTTGAACATGGTATAAATAGAACTGCGATTCGACTTTCTTGTCTAATTGATAGTATATTGAAGCGAAATTATCACAAGTTCTTCATAACAAAACGTTATAGCAGCAGTGGCTCGGGAAACAGAGGGCACTTTCTTAAGCACCCAGGTTCGAATCCCAGCGATGATTGGTCGATACAAATTCCACCGACGCTAACATAAAATAATCACATCTAGTACGAGTACAGATTTACTTTGTAACTTACATAAAGAAAACTTGTTCCGATATGTTAAGAGTTTGTTNATAGAAAAAAAAAAAAAAAAAAAGAAAGTTCCTAAAATTCTACAGCGGAATGTGAAATTTGTTTTTAATTCTTTTACTATTGATAAAGTGACTTGAATTTTCGATTGTTTGAATTTTTCTTTTCTCCTTTTAAGTTTGAAACAGAGATTTAACTGAAATACTTGTCTTGCCGCAGTCTATTGAAGGAAATTCGTAATGACCTTTTTATGTATATCCAATATAATGCACACTGAAAAAAATACCCGTTTTTTTTTTTTGGAATTTAACCCTAAATTTAAAGGTTTAAAGCAGTTTTGTTGAAAAAACGGTTTTTCTCACTTTTTCACCCTAATCACAAACGGATTAAAACCGTAAGTTTAAATTCTAGTTTTTGCCTTGCAGTTTTGTATTCCGTAATATAACAAATTTTTTCTCCAATCACTTTACGATTATTTTCTATACTTGCGCTTACATTTTAGCAAATGCATAATGGTTCGAATATCGTATAAATAGAACTGCGATTCGAATCTCTTGTCTAATTGATACAATACTGAAGCAAAATTATCACTATCACAATTTCTTCCTAACAAAACGCTACAGCCGCAGTGGCTCAGGAAACAGAGGGCACTTTCTTAAGCACCCAGGTTCGAATCCCAGCGATGATTGGTCGATACAAATTCCACCGACGCTAACATAAAATAATCACATCTAGTACGAGTACAGATTTACTTTGTAACTTACATAAAGAAAACTTGTTCCGATATGTTAAGAGTTTGTTGAGATAACAGATTTATTTTTGTAGTAAAAACTTGTTCAGACACGGTAAAAAATACCAGAGTGTCTTAATACGGATTTTCTTTTTCGTAATCATTAAGGAAAAAACTTGCTTTTGTACGGTAAAAAACCGTTGACGCCACGGATTTACTTCCTATAAGTTTTAAAGTTTTGCACAACATAACCAGCTGCCAGTTTAAAACTAAAATTTTTTTTGTAAAAGAGCATGAAACATAATTTCGCCAAACGAAAACAAAAAACTTCACCATATGCAGGAAAACAGGATTCCCCCCCCCCATGGTTGCGCATCAATGTTTTGCAGCAACAAACACGGCTGCCTCTTCAACTTATAATATTACATCAAAAATAGTTTTATCAATATGAAAACTGACATACCTCCACGTCTGATTGCGTGCATGAAGTTGAAGCCTCATCTGCGTTTGCTTTGGCTAGGAGGGCCTGCCTAAAAAATAAAAACCTTGAATTATAAAAAGTTAAGCTTGCTGTAGCTAGAATACAAATACAAAATAGTTTAATCAAGATAGTTACAAGAGAAGGTTTAGCTCAGAAATGTTGGATTTGCAGATAAAATATCTGAAAAAAAGTAGCTGTAGGTATGACTCCACATAACAAGTCAACATAATGAGTAATAAAATTCCAGTAATTTCTAATAAAAAATAACATAATGAAATGGGCTTAGACAATATATAATTTTAAAAGAAAAAGAACGAAAATTACACATTAGGGGTCACGAGGCAATAGTATTTTTTTTTAATTGCTATCTAACTATCAACAGATATTAATTTGCTACCTCTAATGCACATACTTTGAAACATCAATTTTGATAAAAAATTCTAAAAATATATATCAACGGCAATCATTACAGAACACCTAGTATAAATAATAATCGCATGCATGAAATGTTGATTGGAACAAAGGGAAGAAGGTTCTACTTATTTAAAGAGCACTACTTATCTACTTATTTATTCTTCTAATTTAAAAAGATCAGACCTAGAAAATGTAGCACAAATTGTAGCGTTTCAACACACATTCTCTAAATAAAAAGTCTTTTTTGAAGGCCTTCAGAAAAAATGTTCAAATTTATACATGCATTTAATCATTATTGTTTCTAAAAAAAAATGATTTGCACTGCAAGTTTCGATCAGATAATAAGGATCAAAATAAAGAGCCACACTGTCACTGGAGTTGAAATATAATATCATGAAAATTGGCAACAACCTTATTATAGTGCTAGGTCAAACCACAATCTTGAATAAGAAAAAAAAAAGTTTATTATGGTGTTTAGTTGAATAAAATATTTTAATATAAATAAAAGAATTAAAACTCTTTTGATTAAAATTAAACCATATTTTTGGAAAGAAGTATATTTATATATTATGCTTTAGTAATATATCTATTGTACTTTGTTACCAAAGCAGTATATCTAATTTTATTTTTAAAACAAGTAATATATATATATAAAAAAAAATTAAAGTCAATTCCGACTTAGGTCAATGAATAAAAATTTTATTTTCGTTACTTTTATTAATAATTACAATCAATATAAATATGTATATACATGACAGAATCACTATATTAAGTGGCAAAATAGAATATCTCACACTAATTTATTCACATATTTCTTTTTCCACTTTATTCCCGCCTTGACTCAGAGACTAGAACTCAGAATGAAAAAAGAAACTTATAACCGGCGATCTACATTACACGCTTCGCCACTGACGGTAATTATTCCGAAATTTATATACTGCTAAATATCTTATAATAGAAGAGAAATTTTATTCTCTCATATAAAACAAAAATTAATTAATTAAATTTAATTAACCCTTTGCTTACGGTGTTCCATATTGTACCATCACATGTGGTCCACATGTTGTACCAGCCGAAGTCAAAAGGTTAATGAATTAATATTTGAAAAAAAAATTATCAACATCAAGTGTCATTCACAACAAGTTTTAAAAAAATATTTGAACAAGATATATAAATATTTATAGGGAGAGAGTGAATTAATAGCAGGAATTGAAAAAATACGAATTAATTTAATTAAAATTAAAAAGCAATACTCTTGTTTATATACATTAAAATAAATATTTCAGCAAATCGAATATAAACCATATTATCTCAAGCATCAAAAATGTAATTTTTATGTAACCATTTCTTCTTCAAAATTTTGTTTATTACGCAATTATGTCAGATTTTTTTTCTTCTTAAAGTTGTTGTTTTATGATGAGATTTTTTGTGTCATATTTAGGTGTTGTTTAAAAGTAAAATATAAAAAATACAGAATTTCATGTTTCTACTGAATAACAAACATAAAAACTGATTAATTACGTAAATAAAAATAACTACAACGTAAAAATGTCAAATTTATTCAAATAATGAGCAGGCATTTACATTTTATATTCTCTGAATACATACAATATATACAGGGTGGTCCCGAATTCATGGTACAAACTTTAATGGTAGGTACAGGACATTGTAACAATGATTTATTGTATAGGAATGTATAGTCACAAGTGACGCGGTGAGGCGTAAACAGGGGAAATAAAAAGAAAGAGAAATGGANAATAAGTAATATATATATCTATAAAAAAATTAAAGTCAATTCCGACTTAGGTCAATGAATAAAAATTTTATTTTAGTTACTTTTATTAAATAATTACAATCAATATAAATATGTATATAGATATGACAGAATCACTATATTAAGTGGCAAAATAAAATATCTCACACTAATTTATTCACATATTTCTTTTTCCACTTTGTTCCCGCCTTGACTCAAAGACTAGAACTCAGAATGAAAAAAGAAACTTTTTGCCAGCGATCTGCTTCGCCACTGACGGTAATTATTCCGAAATTTACATACTGCTAAATATCTTATATAAGAGAAATTTTTTTCTCTCATATAAAATAAAAACTAATTAATTAAATTTAATTAACCCTTTGCTTACGGTGTTCCATATTGTGCCATCACATGTGGTCCACATGTTGTACCAGCCGTAGTCAAAAGGTTAATGAATTAATATTTGAAAAAAAAAAATTACCAACATCAAGTGTCATTCACAACAAGTTTTAAAAAAAAATATTTGAACTTGAGAAGATTAATAAAAAGTATTTTATTAACGAATTTTACAAGTATTTTATTAACGAATTTGAAAATTTGAACAATATATATAAATATTTATAGGGAGAGTATGAACTAATATATAGTTGGAATTGAAAAAATACAAATTAATTAAAATCAAAAAGCAATGCTCTCGTTTATATACAGTAAAATAAATGTTTCAGCAAATCTAATATAAATCATATTATCACAATGTACCCCATTTGCATCAAAAATATAATTTTTACGTAACCATTTTTTCTTCAAAATTTTGTTTACTACGCAATTACGTCAGAATTTTTTTTTTTTTTTTAAAGCTGTCGTTTGTATAATTTTTTGGCGTTGTTTAAAAGTAAAATATAAAAAATACAGAATTTCATGTTTCTACTAAATAACAAACATAAAAACTGATTAATGACGTAAATAAAAATAACAACAACGTAAAAATGTCAAATTTATTCAAATAATGAGCAGACATTTACATTTTATATTCTCTGAACAAATATACAATATATATTATAGCAGTAATACATTGCACACTCATACATATTTGTAACAATTGTATCTATTTAACTAAAAGCCATTTTAATTTAATCAATAAAAAAATTTTTCCTCCTTTAATTACGTGAAAAAGACTAAATAATAAAATAAAGCTGACAGTGTACAAACAAATTAAACAGTAGACATGGCGGACAAAAGATACATGCTATTACAAAAATATAACATGTTACAAATATGCAACACAAAAGTATAGCATGCTACAAATATGCAATACAAAAGTATAACATTTTACAAACATATTATACCTAAGTATAGCATGTTACAATCATTTTAAACTAAAGTAGTTATTGTTCCATTTATACAATAAAAACCACAGTTATATTCTCAAAATTTATAGAAGGCTAAATTTATTTCTGGCTTTAAAATTTCAAATATTATTTGGTAAATAATAATAATTCGACTGATGCAGTGGAGTATGAATTCCTCATATATTTTTATAACAATAAAACATTTTATAACAATATGTAATAAACATTATTTGTAAAACTTACCCATGGAAAAAATAATTTGCATAATGTCCCATTGCATCTATAATATCAGGATTAGTTACTGCAGATATGGCAGCTTGTTGCTTTAGGAGTAATAGTTTTTTTCTCCTGGAAAATGTTTTTATTTTATGTATACAACACGCTATTAGAGCATGTAAAAATTAAAATCTATCTTAACAATAAGAAAAATAATTTGCTTCACGGTAATTTTTTTTCTTCAAGTTATTTCCTTCCATGTAAAAATATTTCTAGTACAAACAAGTTAATCTGCATTAAGTTGGCAGAAAGATGTACGTATCGCACATGTTTCAAACAATGAACCTTGTGTTATTTAATTAAAAACTTCATTAGCTTCAAAAATATAAAAGTAGGAAATACATGTTTTAAGCGCTCAAAGTTAGGAGCCCATTTTCTTTTCAAGACTTGAAAAACAATAAAACGTGAAGATGCAAAAGGTGCCTCGCCCTTATTGCCCATGTTTTTTTCTTCTTTTTTTTAACTATCATACAAAGACTAATATTTAACTTTTTTAATTTGCCCCAGATAATTCGGAATAGTAAACTGATAGGAAATTAAATGTTTTTTACACATAAAAATTACAATTTTCAACTTAAATGTTGTGTATGGTTTGCTTTAGTTCCTTGTACTATTTATTAATAAAATATAAATATGTTGATCCTTATGTATTTTTTCTTCAAAAAATTGGTAAAAGAAGCTGTTAATAAATTTCTGAGTTCCTGTCCTTAAATATTTTAAAAAGGACGTTATTCTCAATAATTAGGTCAATATTGTTTTTAAATAGGTTAAATAGATTTTAAATAGGGAATATTGTTGCGTTCCCGATCGGGTTCAACTATGGAGACGAGGAGGGAAAATTGTACCTATGATTTTAACCCTTTTTACTTAATTTTCACAAAAAAACAACAACAAAAATGATGGTGTCTATTTACTCTATTCGGTCGTATCTATGGATACATAAAAATTACACAGCCGCCACTCAAACTCAATTTGAGATATAAGGCCTGCTATTCTTCTAACTAAATTATGGCCACGCAATTCTGCAATCAGAAGATTTTGATATATAATTAAATAGTATAACATTTGCAATGACCCGTGCAGATGAAAATGTGATAGCTAGATTTGAGAGAAAAATACTGCGAAGCATTTTTGGTGGAATAATTAAAAGCGGTAAATGGTTTAGAAGATCAAACACGGAACTTTACAAAGCATATAAAGAACCTGATGTCATTAAATTTATCAAAATTCAAAGGATTAAATGGACAGGCCACATTATAAGAATGGAGGACAGCAGGACAACCAGAAAAGTTTTCAGTGCCAGGCCAACAGGTACAAGAAAAAGAGGACGGTCAAACCTAAGATTTTTAGACTGCCTGGAAAAGGACCTACAAGTTTTAAGGATTATAAAGTGGAGAACTTTGGCTATGGGAAGAATGTTTCGGCATAGTCTTGTTGAGAAGGCCAAGGCCCATCCTGAGCTGTCGTGCCAATGAGAAGAAGAAGTATAACATTTGCCTGTTTCCAAATTATTTTTTTTACCTTCCACCAAATCAGTTTTTATGACTTCAAACTGTCATATAATTAGATTTTAAATATTTAAAAATTTTGAAAGTCTCATTTGAAATAACATACTCAAGATAAATAAATAAATAAAAATTTCATCAATTAATTGCTTTATAGTTTTGAAGAAAACTTCAAAGAAGTTCTATAAAATTATTAGACGCTATTTCTCTTAATTTTATAAAGCGATCCATCAAGAGTTTGTTAACTACAAAAAACTTGGCAATCAAAGATTCATTTTGTTATCCTGATGGCGAACACAAATTGCAAACACAAATTATGGTAAGATTACTTTCATACTTCTTAATCCTGCAATCTGTTACATAGAGGGAGCAAATCTAACTCATTTTCTGCTAGAACAATCAACATAACAACGCCCTCTTGTGGAGGAGGGCAACATTAAACTTATAAGGGCGAGATTAAGCATTAATAATTAGGAAAAAAAAAACAGCAAGTGATCTAACTCCATGGTTTACCTGAACTACACTTTATTCTATAGTTAAAATTTTAAATTACTATAGGTATAATAGAATTCGCCGTGAATAATTTCTCCCTCGTTATATCACTTGTTCAATAAGAGAACAAATAAAATCAATACTTGTCCAAAGGTTTATAATTTTAAAACATGCTTTTTTCTACACATCATATAATACAAAAAAGGAGCGTAGAATTGCATAAAATTTACCGAACAGCTGAAAGGGCTATCATCCTTTTCTTCAACGCTAGCTTCGAAATTCCCCTCCTCATTTAGACGACTGGATTGCTCATCTGGAACAATTTACATCGCCGAAGTGTAAGGCCGCCTAATTGGCGAGAATCCCTGAAAGATCTTTCGCCAAGGAAGTGGAACTTTTTCAGTGTAGAGGAGTGAGCTGCTTAACAAATATGGGGGGAAACTGAAGGCAAGAAAACCGTTTTCCCAATAGCTTCAATTTCTTGGGATTATTTACTTAAAATATAGTACTTACTTTAGATATTATTTATTTCTGTACTGTACAAATTGAGTTAATTTGCTTTTATTATCTCTTTTTAATGGTATTTATTGTTCTTTTGATAAAACTTATTGCCCGACATCAAAAAAGAATTCGTTGACCCGAAAAAAAATTAAAAAGGAATTTTTTCAAGATGCAATTAGCCTTGCTGGAGACTTAAGTAGAATTTTTATGAATCAAAAAGATTGCTTGCTAAAGTTTTGTTTTCTAGCTTTACTCCTTTTTACGATTTTGGAACCTTCATTAAATTTGTATTCACTTGGATTGATCAAACAAATATAAATACAAAGATGGCCGAAAATAAACTTCAAACAATGCATATAAAATAAATATTATAATATATGAATGTTCATTTGCTGATTTTTTTAAAAATTATTATTTATTTGTTTATTTTTTTAATAATTATTCTCATCTTTGAAGGAAAGGAAACCTTTTTCAGCCATTGAATATTAAATAATTTATTTCGCAACACTTCTTCCATATTATTATCTATTTATGGAAATAATCGATTTGGCAAGTTAGGCATTCATGTCTTAAATACGTTATTTTATTTCAAGAATGAACTTTGAACTTTTTGAGTTATGATTATTTTTGAAATTTTTCCTTAATTTATGATAGCTTGTGTAATTTCGGAAAAATCTGTAAAACATTTTCTCGTCGACATAACGTTACGGAGCCTTTTTCTTATGGTGCGGACCTTTATAAGGACGCCATACCATAACCACAGATAAAAAAAACCGGAATTGGCACTTTGGGGGCGTCGCTTTGAGGGAGGAGAGAATTGAAACAGTGATATAGAGCAGGGGTTACATGAGGCCGGGAGCCGCAATTAAAAACACCAGTCAAATGGCGGGCCGCAACTTTATCAAAATTTTATATAAAACTCTTTTATGTTTAAAGGAAAATTAAATATTACTTACTGTCAGATTTTTATCAAGTTGTACAAAACGAAAGTATTGAATTACAAGTTAAAATAAGAAGTAGATTTTTAAAAATATTTAATTGTATATTAAAAAATTCAGGCTACAATAACTTTAATGTCCACCCATGTATTAAACGGTTCTAGGAAAAAAAGGAAGGTGCTAGCAGTTTTGAGGGCTAAAGGTGGTCATACATGTGATTAGCAGGGTGGTCATAATGTAATAGGTCTTCAGTGTATATATACAGTGGAACCCGTTTAAGAAGTTCCAGTTTAAATAGTTTTCCCGTGTAATAAGTTATTTTGAAAAAAAAAAAAAAAAACCGAATACCATAATGCTAAATTCACCTTTATATAAAGTTTTTTTCTTCTTCCCGTTTAATAAGTTTTCAGGCGCTTCAAATTTTCTTCATTTTTTTTAAACTTTATATTGAAAATGTGTTATCTAGTTTTACCTTTCACTGACAAAAACAGGTACATGGACTATGCAAAATTAACAAAGACCACAGTTCTTCCTTACTCCTCCATTACACAAAAGAAGGTGATTCATAGGGAACAGGTGTGAGCAAAGGAATGTGAACTTTTAGATGAACAATGAAACTGATAAGAATGTGGGGAATCACTTCGACATTGTGTCCACTGTAAATGAAAATCGGAAAGCTTGACGACGCATTTACTGCACTACTGTCCGCACCCCTTTAGTGACTGATGCGAAAGATACATCAAAACATTTAGCAGCATTTTGTTGGTAATTTTCTTAGTGTGAAGGTTCATCTTGGTATATCCAAATCTTAAATATCGTAGAAAAAAACTTTATTATTGTTGGAAATGTCCTGCAAAGGCCTTGAACGTAAAGCACTATCTATTGAGGATATAGTGAAAATTTTGAAAGCAGTTCTCAATTAACAAGGGTCCAAGAAAAATTTAAATCACCCTGTTACTACGCTATTGCTAAGAAAGACATCTTGAACTCTTATTGTTCCGGTGCATTCCAGGAAATAAAAATAGTGAAAAGAGGAAAATACGAAGATGTTGATGAAAAACTGATAATATGGTTTAAACAAGCAAGATTCTCGAACATTCCTGTTAACGGAACTCTTCTTAGAGGAAAAACCTTTCAGAGAATGCGGAGAAATTGAATATTGATTTCACGCTCTACAATGGATGGATACATCCGATGAAAAAACAAGCTGTATTAGTTTATAAAACAATTAAAGAAGATTGTAACAGCGTTTATTTACGAGAAGTTGAAGAATGGAAAGCTAAAGAAAATAATGCATGGAGTCCCTCCGCGCGGAAGAAGTGAAACTTCGTAATGTGGAAATGAAAATAGGAAGGGGTAGAAATTGATTTTTAGTGAATAAGACAAACTTTATTAACATTGCTTGCAATTCACAATTGATCGCATCTTTTAATTATCATTTTCGAGTGGAGAAATATCCAAATCTATTACATTTACAATGGGATTATGATAACTAAAGTATGATACGAAATGTTTGAGTTCTCTTTTTTCAATATTTCTTGCAAAAACTGCACCAATGGCAGTTCCCCCTTTGGTTGTTGAATAATTCCTACCATTTATCATTTCCAATCCAAATTTGTCTGTAAGGAAAGTTAATAATGTTTCAGGTAACGGGAAATTCACATTAAAATCTCCCGCAAGGATCAGAGGTCGCTCTTTACCATGGTAGCGTTAAACGTTGAACGCAACCTTGTTGGAAGTCGCATTAGAAGTTTCACTTCAATTACTTGAACTTATTCCCAGTCATCAACCAAAGGACATTTTTAAAATGGATGAATGCGGACTATTTTTCAGTCTTTCACCTGATAAAACTTCTGACTTAATAGGTAAACGCTGCCATGGAGGTAAAAGCAGCAAAGAGCATTTGACAATTTCAGTTGGGGTAATAGTAAATTGCAGATACGTTTTGTTAACAATCAGTATAATTAGTCGATAACTAAATAACATTATAACAACTCTTTTAAATTGTATTTATCACGAGGAAAAAGAAGAAAAAAACTTACTTTTTACGCCACTCTTTGAATTTCTCTCCTCTGTTCACTTTCCTCTTAGCAGATAATCTAAGTGCTCCTCTAACTTGATTTTTTCTGTATCTTGCACTCATAATAACATATTATACTATGCAATTCTATTGCATACAATTCTTCATATAGGTTTGGATCTTTGCATATCTATTTTGTATTCATTGTTAAAATTGCACGCGTATACTGAACTTAACTTTATACGCAGTTTACTTTTTAAAAGGAAAAGAAGAAGAAAAGGAAGAAAATAAAATTATCAGAAAAGAAATTAATCTTATTTACTCTTTAATAAATGTAAAATTGATTAAATATCTTTATCTTAAAATGTTTTAATAAAATATTATACTATTAACAATAATACAGCAACAAGGTAATAAACAAAACAGCAACAAAAATAAAAGACGAATTTATTTTTAAAGCGTTTAATTATATTAATAAAAAGATTTAAGATAATTAATTAGTTAAACTGGTGTACATGGATTCAGTAACTTTTCATTGCAAAGAAAAAGTTTCACAGGGAAGAAAAAGTCCTCAATCCCAACTCATTCTCAAGAAAGAAAATGGAATAAATAAAACTATTTTCAACCACAATCGAAGACCCCCCAAAGCTATTTAACCCCAAAACTATTCAAAGAAAGTAAAGAGACTCTCTTTCATATACCCCCCCCCCAAAAAAAAAGGACTCCCCAACTAGAACTTATACTTCTATTGGTAAATGAAGAGAGGACAGGCGAAAAGGCGTGGTTTAGGCTCTTTTCGCTAATTTGTTTAGTATTTTTCTTTGATGATAACATATTTTATAATTGAAGAAAATAATAACGAATTATTTCTTTTAGAAGCTTGAAATGTAAAGTACGTGTATGTGATCTCAAAAATAACGATTTACTGAATGAATTTTGATTAAAAAACGGATTTCTGTAAGATAACTCGATTACTGATGTTTCAACTCCATTAATAATTTAAAATTTATAGTTGAAAATAAAAGGGAATCCGCTGAAAATTTGAGTAAACTATGAAGTTTCAATTGCTGAAAGAACTTTTTCAAAATATCAAAATGCAAAAAATTTTATTTGCAAATGAAGCTCTCGTAGAAAAAGCATTAGTTGCTGGCACTGAGATTGCGTTCTCTAAATCTAAGGCAGGTTTGTGAGATACTTAATTACGCTGGTACGAACAGCCGACAAAAGATAGAGCCGTACACAGGTTAATTATGTATTTTTTTAAACATTTTTTATTGCAAATGCCTACCTGTGTTAACATTTCGTCAATTCGGGCAATTTACGGAGCAGATTTCCATCATCAGGCTACCGAAGCAGGAGAGCCATCCCCTCTGCAGAGGATCAACATTGTGATGGCATGTCTTCGGATCATCCTCAGGAATGTTTCCCAGACCGGAGCCAATAGCTCATTGTGCAACTCTAGCGCGATGCAAATAAAATACCTACCTATTGTTTGCCTACAGTAAGAACTCCCCCTGCCCCAAAATCGGAGGCCGTCTGCTGCTATAGAAACAAGAATAGCTCATTTCAGAGAAGGTAATTCCATTTCCCTCTAGAATTAACAAAATAGACGGAAGAAATAGTTTCCCTTTCTTTCGTAGACCAACCCCACACCCCTACTTGAAATAGTTGTAACTCGTTACCATAGTCACCGCCACGGGTCCAGACGAATGGCTAGGGAAGTTCTTACTTTAGACAAACTATACAAACTTTCTTTAATACCTCACTATCTGAAAATTATATAAAGAGGAATTAAAGTATTTTTATAACTTTTGTTCTAATCATAACATCTTTGACAGTTGCTCTCATCGGGTTTCAAGTTTTCAAAATCAAGTTTTTTTCCCTGTCATTTATAACTTCATTTGCTTTATGGATTATACTACGGAAGAGTAGGAACAATACGATCATCCCAGCTAGGCCATGTATATTAGTTTTCATCTGGCAATCTGGGCTTCGAACAATTTTATGCTGTTAAATATAATTGACTTACTTCTGACTTGTAAATTGACCAGCCGATCTGATGTACTGTAATGGTTTTAGGGCCCTGGCTCTTACCCGGCTCATCACGTGGGAAACTGTCTTCAAACACGGCAAACTTGATGACACTTCAATTGAGGGGGACATTTTGGCTAATTCCTCCCTGGAAAATAGATAGTTTGACATACATTTAGGAAAAAAAAGTAATTTACAAATTTTTGTTTTTAAAAAATTTCGTTAAAATTGACTGTTTAACGACAGCTATGAAACAAAAAATAAAATACCTATTATCACAGTATCTATACGAGAAAAATAGATTCAAGTTACCTATCACCACAACTAACCCCTTTGGGCCAGTAAAATATTCGAAACCTTGAATAGCAATGACAAAATTTTTCGAAATTCATATACTCTGAAACTATTCGATTGATTTCGTTCTAGTTTTGTATTTTTTTATTTTTATTTAAAACTACTTACTTTAAAATGAAGCAAAGATTTGTAAACCTTAAATTTCGAAATATTTTCCATTATAATTTTCAACATAATTATAATTAAAAAAAATAATAATTTATAAAAAATTTATTTTATCGTGGAATTATATTTCACTAAACGAATTTTAAAATTTTTTGCGAAAATATTTTGATTAGCTCCTGCCGAAATAAGCAAAACTAAACATTAAATGATCTAAACTTTCGGCAGCACTCCTGACCAAACTGTTGGGACTATATTTTCAAATTTCAGCAATCCCTCCCCTCCCTATTGAGAAAAAAACATGTTGAATCAACGAAATTACATTTTTGCGCATAATTTGTTAACTTAAAATATCATATGTACTAACTAAGTAGCATATTTCAAGCTATGGCCTCAAACCATTAAGTTTGAGTTGATAATCCGATCATTCGATCAAAAGTTTTTCAGTGTGTCAACTTAATTCTATTCATTTATTTTTTTACGCACTGTACGTTTACTTACGGCACTTAGTGTACTACCACCAGCTGGACTCACATTTGCGAGAACAGTAGTTCGAATTTAGCCTCCGAATACTTCCCGTGTAGTAAATGGTGAATGGTGCACGTTAAATTTGCCGGATCACAAAGTCCCCCATGTTCCTATAACAAATCAATACCGCTGGGAGTACTGAATTGGAGATTGATTTTTCCCAGGTTCAGGTCATAATTACAATCAGTGGAAGAATGAATGAAGGTACGAATGGGTCTGCTTGATAAACGGTTGTGACGTATGGGTGCGACAGAAGTCGAATTCTTGGCCATAGATGGCGCCACTGGAAAACAAGAGCATTCGCACCCCATCTGCCTTAATGGCAAATGACAACAATATTATAATACCACACTAGGTAGAATGCAGATTTTTTTTTTAATTTCCAAAAAAGTGAAAAGACACTAAACAACTTAGGTCCATTACTGTATTTTTGCCGATTATTGATTTAGTTTCCTTTAGCAGTATACCTATAAAGTATAGAATAACAGAAAAAATAAATAAATGGCTTACCTGCAAAGCTTGGAAATCGGCTCAGACAATTCAGTTGCACATCTTCTCTTCAACTTGTTGTAGAGTGTCTTTTTTGCAACTTTATTTGTGTTCGGCGCATGCGTGTGCTCGCCAGATTTCGTTAACAAACCGTCTTTTACCACTATTTTCGCTCCGCAATTCTTTTCGCACTTCCAGTATGTTGTATTTTTATATTTTCTATTTATATTATAAATGTAGTCCTTATACAACAGCAAATACCCGCTACGGGATGATTTAATGTAACTTATTTCAGACATTTTCACGAGACGAAAAGACAAAATGCAACTTGGAAGTAAGTAGTAATGGTAGATGAACTAGAACTGCAGACGGCTACAAATTAAAAATGGTTGTAGTATTAAACTAGAACTATTGTTGACGGCTACAAATTAAAAATGGTAATAGTAGATGAAATAGAACTGTTGACGGCTACAAATTAAAAATGGTAATAGTAGTAGATGAACTAGAACTGTTGACGGCTACAAATTAAAAATGGTAATAGTAGTAGATGAACTAGAACTGCTGACGGCTACAAATTAAAAACGGTAGTAGTTGATGTACTATAACAGTAGATGGCTACTACTTAAAAATAATCGTAGATATAACTGTAGATGGCTACAATTTAAATATGGTTACTAGATTTACAAGAATTGTAGATGGCTACAAGAATTAGTGAACTATGTAGTAGAATTAAAGTAAATGAAGAAAGTAGAATTGTAGATGGTCAGAATAGTAGAATTGTCAACCTTCTTAAAATCATTCTAACCCCCCAAAACTATACTATCCCTTGATTTGAGGAAAAGGGGGAAGCGTCGTAGCAGGTGTTTCAGCTGAAGAGTGATTTACATAGAGAGAACCAGTCCCCCTTCCCTTGTTGCAAAGAACGTTGTCACGTAATTCCTGGAAGATTTTCCCTCCAGTAAACCCTATCGCCAGTCTTTTACTATGGAGGTGGATTTCGGAGCTTTGTTTTGAACAATAAAATTCAATAAAAATGGTCGGCATACGGCTGTTGGGCATACGGCTGTGAAGAAAAATTCATAGGCCTTTCACATTTCACAAATAAGATTTTTATTCTTCTATATTCAATTTTAAACATTTATTTGTAATTTGTATGTTAGGACATCAGGATATGGAATGAATTAAATTTGTTTTTAATAAAAAATAGCTATTATTTCTTTATATTAATAGTTAACATTTGTGAGTATTTTCATTACAATTTCATATTGATATAAATATTTTGATATTTTTACTGCTTTTTCGATGAAACACATGCATCGGATTTGGCGCATTTTTTTTCACGCCAATATCTTGCAAACAAATCGCTTTTTGAAGTTATACTTCTTATGCGACTTCCAACAAGGTTAAACGTTTAACGCTAAATTTTTCTTGGCCGTGAAATCACGTGGTAGGATCCAGTTTTCCCTCATTCATTTCCATATTGTTTTGGTTCTCACTAGCATAGAAATAATAAAAGTTATAAAAATATTGTTTTTCTATAAATATTTTTTTAGTTTGTTTTGATACACATATANTTAGTGATAATGCGTTATTTAAACTTAATATGAAATACATGTAACAAAATTAAAATAACTTTTTGATTTACTTCTATTTTCAAACTTATACAACACTTTTTAATAAAAATATTTACACAGTAAAACTTAGAGTTTAAGAGCACTAAATGAAAAAAAAACAATTTCCCCCGGGGTTTTTCAAATAGAACCCAATTTTCCCCTGGTTTTTTTCTACAAAACCCAGGCGGGTTGGGTTTTTTTCTAAAATAACCGTGTTTTTTCAAACCCTGCTGCAATATAGTTAACATTTGTGGGTATTTTCATTACAATTAAATTTCATATTACTATAAACATTCTGATATTTTTACTGCTTTTTTGATGAAACACGTGCATCGGATTTGGCGCATTTTTTTCACGCCAATATCTTGCAAGCAAATCGCTTTTTATATTCGCTCTGTAACTTATAATAATGCGTTGAAATATATATATATTTTTTTTAATAATTTCAAGCGAATTTAATTACATATTTCAGTTGTACAAACTTAAAAATATATATAAAAGCACATTTCCTGTAGTAAAAAGATTTTGGATCAAAAATGAAATTATCTTTTAATAAATTCCGTTATTAAATAAAATTTACTTTTTTTTATTATTTAGAAAATAATTTTGTTAGATAGGAAAAATTGTTTGGATATTCATATTTATTTAGCAAATTTCATATATATATATATTTAGCACTGCACATTTATTATTCAGGAAAATATTAACTAGGTAATTATAGGTTCTATTATTAATAATAGGCCCTATTATTAACAAATTATTATAGGTTGTCAAGAGTATGGCTATTTATTATCATTATATGTTGTTGTTTTTTTCGATTTCTGAAAAAAAGGGAATAATTCTCCTTTGGGTCATCAATAAAGTTTTTTTAATATAAAATTTTAATTATTAATTAAGTCTAGAACTACAAATGTTTCAAACAACAAACAGATAGTATGTTCTTATAAGGAATTTTGCAATACTTTTTTTTAAAATAAAGAAACAAATAACAAAACCAAAATTTGCTACGTTTAAATACTTTTATCATTTTATGTTAACTCACTAAAATGTTAATTGTATGCATTGGTTAAAATTATTTAATATCGCATGGCAGGCAAACTAGCAGCATTAAATAAGATTAATAGTAATAAATGATAAAGATAAATATTATTATTTATTTTAAAAATAGAACATTTTGTTTTTATAAGAAAAATTATCAATTGTGAATAATACTAAAACCGTAAAAAAGTTATGCAAAAGATAAATTATATATCCGTGTACATATTTGAGTAAAAAAAAAAAATTGCTATTCAAGTTGTCCTGTTAAAAAATTTTTTATTATTGTACGCAATCTCAGTAAAAAAAAAAAATGCAACTATGATTAAAATCTATATATATATTACTCTTACACGGCGATAAAAAAGCCTCATTACAACTCTCCGAATGGCAACGCTAGAAAATCAACCAATAATTGCTGCTAAAAATGTCACATGGCAAATGTCACATCAGGTGGCTCAACATATAGCGCTTTTAAAAACGGAAACAATAACCAGAGTGAGCATTATCAGGTTGTTCTATTCAGATTCATGCCCTAAAAACATGAAAATATTTAATTTAAACTCAATTCGCGATCGCAACGCTCGAGTACGCCGTCTAGCGGGAGCCTGTAAATATCGGACATTAATTTATCACGTTTTCATTTAGTTCCATCAAAGTCATTGACTGAATCAGACGCCATTTTTTAGCAGCAAATAAGAAACAAAATTTCCCTAAGGAAAAGGCCGAAGAACTTGAAAAAAATCTCCANGCCAATGTTTGCAAACAGATCGCTTTAATTTTCGCTCTGTAACTTTTATTGATGCATTAAAATAATTTTTTGTAATAATTTCAAGCGAATTTAATTATACATATATTAAATTATTTAATTATATATTTAATACATTTCATGCAAAAAATAATTTTTTGGATCAAAACTAAAATTATCTTTTAAAAATTCCGTTATTAAATAAAATTTATAAGCCGAAGAATATATTTCTTATTATTTTATTATATAGGAAAAATTGTTTGGATATTCATATTTACTTAGGAAGCTTTATATTTATTACTGTACATTTATTATTGAGGAAAATATTAACTAGGTTATTATAGGTTCTATTATTAATAATAGGTCCTATTATTAACTAATTATTATAGGTTGTCAAGAGTATGACTATTTATTATCATTATATGTTTGTTTTTTTTTCGATTTCTGAAAATAAGGGAATAATTATCCTTTTGGTCATCAATTAATTTTTTTTAATATAAAATTTTAATTATTAATTAAATCGAGAACTATAAATGTTTCAAACAACAAACAGATAGTATGTTCTTATAAGGAATTTTGTAATACTTTTTTTTTAAATAAAGAGACAAATAACAAAACCAAAATTTGTTACGTTTAAATACTTTTATCATTTTATGTTAACTCACTCAAATGTTAATTGTATGCATTGGTTAAAATTAATTAATACCGCATGGCAGGCAAACTAGCAGCATTAAATAAGATTAATATTAATAAATGATAAAGATAAATATTATTATTTATTTCAAAAATAAAATATTTTGTTTTTATACGAAAAATTATCAATTATGAATAATACTAAAACCATAAAAAAGTTATGCAAAAGATAAATTATATATCCGTGTATATATTTGAATAAAAAAAAATTTTCTATTCAAGTTGTCCTGTTAAATTTTTTTTATTATTGTACGCAATCTCAGTAAAAAAAAAATGCAACTATGATTAAAATTAATTATAATCGCGTAATTTATAACTTAGGTTCAATTCTGTTTATATCTCAGATTCAAAAAATCATTATTTTTATTTCATTGTTTGATAAAATCATATTTAAGTAATGTTATTAGCTTTTTATAACTAAGCAATTAAAAGTAAATAATTAAATGTAGTGTGCATATTATAAAGCATTTTGATTTGAAAATTTATCTTTTGCAATCACGAATAAAATTGGAAATGCATTCAAAACAAAAATAAAAAGGAGAGAAAAATCTTCAGGTTCTCTTAAAAATATTCCTTCACGATTCGACAGCCAGCTATGAATTTTTTGCCAAAAGGTACCCCCATCTTCGAACATGTTTTCAGAGCCTAAACAATAGACTGGCTATCTCTACCCTAACCTCTAAGGTTATAATTCGCTACCATAGTCACCGCCACGGGTCCAGACGAATAGCTAGGGGAGTTCTTACTTTAGCCAAACTATACAAATATTTTTCAATACCTCCCTACCTGAAAATTAAATAACGAGGAACTAAAGCATTTTTATAACTTTTATTCTAATCATAACTTCTTTGACAGTTGCTCTTTTAATCTTCATCTGGAAATTTGGACTTCGAACAATTTAATACTATTAAATATAATTTACTTACTTCTGACTTGTAAATTGACCAGCCAATCTGATGTCCTGCAATGGTTTTCGAGCCTTGGATCTCACCCGGCTCAACACCGGTAATACTGTATTTAAACACGGCAAAGCTGTTAACACTTCAAATGAGGAGGACATTTTTGCTAACTCCTCCCTGAAAAAATAGATAGTTTGGCATAGATTTAAGAAGAAAAAAAAAGTCATTTTTAAATTTTCGTTGAATTTTTTTTTATTTTTAATTTTGCTAAAATTGGCAGTTTAGTGTACCCTTTCTAAATTTTTCGTAAATTGTTAAATTTTTCGTTACTGTAAAAAAATTGGACAAAAGTTAAATATCACAACTAGCTGTTGACACCACTAGTTTTTAACTGTTAACTCTGCAAAAAATAGCCAATAGAAAAATATGTAATCGTAAATTTTCATGGCTAGCTTTGATTTAAAATAAATTTTTTTGAAATTTTCGTTTGTTGCAAGACATTTTGCATAAGAACGCATACCCCCGCTTAACTGTTCCCGTACCACTGGGGTTACGCGTACCGCAATTTGGAAAACACTGCCATAAAGTATATAATAACATAAAAAATAAATAAATGGCTTACCTGTAAAGTTTGGAAATCGGCTCAGACAACTCAGTTTCACATCTTCTCTTTAACTTGTTGTAGAATGCTTTTTTTGCAACTTTTTTTGTGTTTGGCGCATGCGTGTGCTCTCTAGATTTCGTTAACAAACCGTCTTTCACCATTAATTTCGCTCCGCAATTCTTTTCGCATTTCCAGTATGTTGTATTTTTATATTTGCTATGTATATTATAAATGTAGTCCTTATACAACAACAAGTATCCATTACGAGAAGATTTAATGTAACTTATTTCAGACATCTTCACGAGACGTTAAGACAAAATGCAACTTGGAAGTAAGTAGCAATGGTAGATGAGCTAGAACTGCAAACGGCTACAGATTAAAAATGGTAGTAGCAGATGTATTATAACTGTAGAAGGCTACAACTTAAAAATAATAGTAGATATACTATAACTGTAGATGGCTTCAATTTAAATATGGTAACTAGATTTACAAGAAATGTAGATGGCTACAAATTAAAAATGGTAATAGTAGATGTCTATAACTGTAGATGGCTACAACTTAAAAGTAATAGTAGGTACTATAACTGTAGATGAGTACAATTCAAATATGGTAACTAGATTTACAAGAAAAGTAGATGGCTACAAATTAAAAATGGTAAAATAATGAACTAGAATTGCAGATGGTCACAACTTGTAAATGGTATTAACTTAACAGTGACCTATAACTATAGAAAAAGTTTTTATCGCCCTTTTTAAAATGGTTCTACCCCCATTCCACCCAAAACCCATACTATCCTTTGCTTTCAGGAAAAGAGGGAAGCTTCGCGGGAGGTGTTTCAGCTCGAAACGACAGAAATTTTTTTGTCTTTTTGTTGTACAGGGGGGCGAAGTGTGGGATAACATGAGGGAGTTTCTCTACCCCCTGTAGAATGATCGATGCGAACTGTCAAAATGAATGAGTAGAATTATTAGTTAAGAAGATGGATAATCTTGTCTTTTCGTAAAAAGGAAACATACAAGTAAAAACGCAAATGTGATGTATATTGAAAATACTTTAAAGTAATAGAAAATTGGATATGAAATTATTTTTCTTATTTATCCATTCGTTTTATTTTTATTATTATGATTAAGAGACTTGTGAGAATGAAATTTCAAACAATTTTACTTAAATAATAAATATTCAAAATAAAAATTATTTACTGTAAAAGGATTTAGGAGGGTAATTTTTTGGAACTAAAACAGTTACATAAGTACGGGGGGGGGGATGAGTTATAACACAAATCGGTGACAGTTATGATTTTCTTAAAAATTCATCGAAATGATATGTGAATTGCTTATTTTTGCTGACAGTAGAAGAGAAGAGTTGAAAATCGCCAAAAATATGCTTACGTAATCATTGTATTAATATCGACAGTTTTCCGTCGCCAATACGAACATACAACCGATAAGTGCCAAAATTAGTTATCACATCGTCATAAAATATCGATATTTATCTCTTTTTCTTTTCAATTTAACATTTTTTAAATTTTTTAAGATTTATTAATATTTTTATTTTCCAAATAAACATTTTCAGCTCGGAAGTAATATAATACAATATAGTATTCAAAAATCCAATATATTTAAAAACTATAGCTATGTATAATATTCACGATATTATGTTTCGTTTGTTACATTATCCAAAGTGATCGCGATATCATCGATTTCGATAATTATAGTCATAAACTCATAAATAATGGTGGCGATATTTTCGCTCATACTTACTGTTATCATCAATGATCCTGATAATATCGTCTTTCATTCACCTTAGGTATTATCGATACCTGGTGACCCAGTATGTAAACCACGATCTGTCTTTGTACACCGGAATGTCTTGACAAACTTGGCTTCAAGGTCTCTTATCGATAATTACCCGAATTAATATTTAAACGCTAGTAAGCAACAAAACTTAATCCAAGATTTGTTGAATCTCTAGCACAGGAGATAGAGCGTTCGCCTCCCAACGAACAGGCAGGCCCAGGTTCGAATCTGAAGGCGGCCGGTTGGTATGAATTCTGCTCCCGGCTCGCACCGACCAAGTGTTGATATAAAATATACTCAATGTTAAGGCCTGTTTAGACGATCCAATTTCTTGGACAGAGATGGATTGATATTGATGGAAACTTGTTTTGCTTTGAGCTTTGATAGTGTAAACAAACATCCAAGAACTTGGTACAACTTCTTGGACGATAGTAGAACATGTTCTACTTTCCATCCAAGTTTTTTCTCCCTTAACCAATCAGCTTCTTAGGTTTGGTGACGTCAACAATCGGGCAGCAAATTATGTCATTTTGTTGTCTGTTTTCATATATTTTAGTCTAAATAAATTGATCTGTTGCGGTTTATTTGTGTTATTATGATTTTATTTGAATTTATTTAGTAATTTTAAACTTATGTAAGTATTATTTTATAATGTTGAATATGAACAATGCACATGCGCAAGTTTTTCTTCTGACCAATCAGTGACATTCAAGAA